TAAAGAAAGCGAGCACAAGCAAGGGGGAGTGGCAGGCTGAGGGAGAAGCAGACTCCCTGCTCAGCAGGGAGCCCAACACTGGGCTCAATCCCAGGACTCTGAGATCATGACCTAAGTCAAAGGCAGACGCTTAACCAACTGAACCACCCAGGCACCCAGAGGCTTGTTTTATTCTGAATGAGATGAATGAGATGGGAAACCAGGCTTTTGAAGGTGGTGTTTTAAAAACCTCACTCTGGTTGCTGGGTATGGAACAAACTACAGAGGGGGAGGAGGAGTGGAAATGGTGAGACTAGTTAAGAGGCTACTATAATCATCCAGGTGAAAGATTAGCAGCTTGACTAATTCTTTCTGGTGGAAATAGTAAAAAGTAGTCAGATTCTCAATTTATTTTAAAAGTACAGCTGACATGCTTTGGGGTGCCTGGGTGGCTCAGTCATTAAGCGTCTGCCGTCGGCTCAGGTCATGATCCCAGGGTCCTGGGATCGAGCCCCGCATCGGGCTCCCTGCTCAGCAGAAGCCTGCTTCTCCCTCTCCCACTCCCCTGCTTGTGTTCCCTCTCTCGCTGTGTCTCTCTCTCTGTTAAATAAATAAAATCTTAAAAAAAAAAAAAAAGTATAGCTGACATGCTTTGCAGATATGGAAGGTGGGGGAAAAAACCAATCAAGTATGATTCTAAAATGTGGGGCCTGAGCACGTGGAAAATTGGAGCTACCACTTTCTGAGAGAGAGAGACCTGGGAGAAGAGCAGATTAAGCAGGTTGGTGGGATGGGAGTGGATGAGGATGGAAACAAATATTTGGTTTTCATAAATATAAGTTTGAAATACCTAGTGGATGTCCAAGTGGAGATGTAGAAGGGGCAGGTAGATAAGGATGGATCTCAGTGGAGAGATCTGGCCTAGAGATACAAAACTGGGACTAGTCACCATATAGACAATATATAAAGCCAGGTGACTACATGATATTACTTAGGGAATAAAGGTAGAGAGAAAAGTAGTTTGAATAAAACCCTACATAACTCCATAACTAACTGGTCAGGAATGTGAGAAAGCAGTCATGTAGAAGAATCAAGAGAAAATGGGTTTTACAAAGACTCCATCAAAAAGGAGAACTACAGACCAATATCTCTGATGAACATGGATGCAAAAATTCTCACCAAAATACTAGCCAATAGGATACAACAGTACATTAAAAGGATTATTCACCACGACCAAGTGGGATTTATTCCTGGGCTGCAAGGTTGGTTCAACATGCACAAATCAAACAATGTGATACAATGCATTAATAAAAGAAAGAACAAGAACCATACGATCCTCTCAATAGGTGCAGAAAAAGCATTTGACAAAGCACAGCATCCTTGGGCGCCTGGGTGGCTCAGTTGGTTAAGCGACTGCCTTCGGCTCAGGTCATGATCCTGGAGTCCCGGGATCGAGTCCCGCATCAGGCTCCCCGCTCAGCGGGGAGTCTGCTTCTCCCTCTGACCCTCCTCCCTCTCGTGCTCTCTGTCTCTCATTCTCTCTCTTTCAAATAAATAAATAAAATCTTAAAAAAAAAAAAAGCACAGCATCCTTTCTTGATTAACTCTTCACAGTGTAGGGATAGAGGGCACATACCTCAATATCATAAAAGCCATCTATGAAAAACCCACAGTGAGTATCATTCTCAATGGGGAAAAACTGAGAACTTTTCCCCTAAGGTCAGGAACACGGCAGGGATGTCCACTATCACCACTGCTATTCAACATAGTATTAGAAGTCCTAGCCACAGCAATCAGACAACAAAAAGAAATAAAAGGCATCCAAATCGGCAAAGAAGTGAAACTCTCACTTTTTGCAGATGATATGATACTTTATGTGGAAAACCCAAAAGACTCCACCCCAAAACTGCTAGAACTCATACAGGAATTCAGTAAAGTGGCAGGATATAAAATCAATGCACAGAAATCAGTTGCATTTCTATACACCAACAAGACAGAAGAAAGAGAAATTAAGGAGTCGATCCCATTTACAATTGTACCCAAAACCAGAAGATACCTAGGAACAAATCTAACCAGAAGCAAAGATTCTGCACTCAGAAAACTATAGAATACTTATGAAAGAAACTGAGGAAAACACAAAGAAATGGAAAAGCGTCCCATGCTCATGGATTGGAAGAACAAATATTGTGAAAATGACTATGCTACCTAGAGCAATCTACACATTTAATGCAATCCCTATCAAAATACCATCCACTTTTTTCAAAGAAATGGAACAAATGATCCTAAAATTTGTATGGAACCAGAAAAGACCCTGAATAGCCAGAGGAATGTTGAAAAAGAAAAGCAAAGCTGGTGGTTTCACAATTCCGGACTTCAAGCTGGATTACAAAGCTGAAATCATCAAGACAGTATGGTTCTGGCACAAAAACAGACACATAGATCAATGGAACAGAACAGAGAGCCCAGAAATGGACCCTCAACTCTATAGTCAACTAATCTTCGACAAAGCAGGAAACAATGTCCAATGGAAAAAGGACAGTCTCTTCAACAAATGGTGTTGTGAAAATCAGACAGCCACATGCAGAAGAATGAAACTGGCCCATTTCCTTACACCACACACAAAATAGACTCAAAATGGTTGAAAGACCTAAATGTGAGACAGGAGTCCATCAAAATCCTAAAGGAGAACACAGGCAGCAACCTCTTCAACCTCAACTCCAGCAACTTCTTCCTAGAAACATCACGAAAGGCAAGGGAAGCAAGGGCAAAAATGAACTATTGGGACTTCATCAAGATAAAAAACTTCATCAAGATTATGTTAATTAAAAAAAGGAAAAAAAAAGAGGAAATAGGGTTTTAGAAGTTCAGAAAATGTTTCAAGATGGAAGGAGTGACCAAATGTGCTCATGCTGCTGATAAGTTGAGCAGGAAGAGACGTGAGAACTGGTCACTGGATTTGACCAAGATGGAGTTACTGGATATCAGTGGAGTGACTGGGGCAAAAGCCTAGCAAACACGAGTTCAAGGCAAAATGGAAGGAGAAGTAGGAAGAGTGAGAATAGACAACTCTTTCAAAGAATTTTTCTTTAAAGGGAAGCAATAGCTAGCGGGGAATGTGGAGTTATCTGAGTTTTTGTTTTAAGACTGAGAGATAGATTTTTATCTGGTAGGAATAGTTCAGTAAAGGAAATATTTGATGGTACATGATTAAGGAGAAAGAAGGGATAACTATAGAAATAAAGTCCTGGAGGGAGGAAAGGATAGGATGAAACACACATGAGTAGTTTTTTCTACTTTTCCAATTACCTGGCAAGAAAGGCAATAGGATCCACTGCATTGAGAAAGAAATTTTTGTAACAAAAGTATATAAATAAAGATTCAATCAGAACTATAAGTTTATGTGAACTGTTCATCAAGGACAGTAAAGACTCATACCCTCCAAAGTTCTCTGATTCTTAATTAGCCTTTACTGAAAAAGATTTATGACATATTTTGATTCCTAAAAAATTCTTCATTCATAATAAAGTAACTAATTTCAGGACCATAAATATAAACACAAGCCTCTTTAATCCTCATGATTCTCCCTTCAGATCATTTAGAAATGAAATACAGTGAAATAAATGACTTAATATATACTTAAACATGTTTTCTTTTCCATCTTCTAAATATTTATACTCTTTTTTTCATATTTCTCTCATGTCTTATTATTAGCAGAAATGTTTATCACTAAGACTCTTAATATAAATCACTATGGACCTAATTTTAGAAAAGACATCCTAGACTATTTTTATCAATGAATGGAAGCACTAGCTTAAAGTGGTCATTTTCATTCATATCCAATTTTAAATACAATATGAAAGAGAAGGATGCTTTTCGGGCTCCAGTATTTCCTTTATCCTGAATTTACACTGACTTTTTAGTCTATATGGGCTTCTTTTTTTTTTTTTTTTAAAGATTTTATTTATTTATTTCACAGAGAGAGACACACAGTGAGAGAGGGAACACAAGCAGGGGGAGTGGGAGAGGGAGAAGCAGGCTTCACGCAGAGCAGGGAGCCCGACGCGGGCTCGATCCCAGGACCCTGGGATCATGACTTGAGCTGAAGGCAGACGCTTAACGACTGAGCCACCCGGGCACCCCTATATGGGCTTCTTATAGAAATTAAAAAATCAAAGCTAATGCACCCAGATGATCTGAAAATAAGTAACCATAGTAACAAACAACTTCCAACAAACAACTCGATAGACTTGGAAAACCCAGGCATGTTGTAACAAAAGAAACAGAAAGAGTGGTAGACAATTCTAATTGTTGACTTCAAAGAGTAACACCAGATACTAATTAGACCTGAATTCTAGACTACCTGAATTAACAGGTGAAGAATGGAAAGTCATCTTTCTAAACCAACAAGAAAATTTTGTACTGCTTTCTCCTTATGAGTTTTCAGGATACTAGTATAATACTCATTTCCATTTTCTAATCTGTTTTCTCATTTAGCATTGTCCATTCATTGCTTCATGGTGCTTTTATCATATCCCAAATCCACTGAATTTGGGTGAAACTTAAGATAATTGCCAAGTTATAACCATAAGAGAAAAAAGGAGGGAGGGAACACTTAATAACCACCATCTTAATTAGCCTGAGAAACAATTAAAAAAAAAATAGGGGAACACTGATGTTAATGAACAGTATTATCCACATATGTTTATCAATGACTATATTCTAAGCTTCTGAAATTCTAGCGGTATGCTTCCCCAGAAAAGTCTAGAAAATGAGTTTGATTTTTTAATTGCATTATAACTTCACTGAACTTTAATTCTCAAGCAGAAATGACAAAGGGCCTTGGTTACTCCTGAGAGAAAAGCAGAGTAATTTTAACTGCACTCCTGTTTTTAGCTTAATAGCATTAATAAAAAGTGCTCATCAAATAAAAAATAACATTATTTGTTATATAATAACAATAGTTAGCTAAAAGATCATATTTTTGTAATTTATTGATTTTTTATTTGGCCAAAACAGCTTACCTGGTACAAAATACTCTGTTTGCACAAGCCAGTGAAATTCCAAATGAAATCCCAAGTGTATGGCCTTAAAGGTGACAAGGAAAATCAAATAGAGAACGGACACTGTGCCTGTGAGAAAAAATTAAGAAACCATTTATCATCTTTGCATGTTTTACAGACTATTTTAAAATTAAGCTTTGTTTCTATATTCTCAGCACAGTTTGGAAAATTATTACTCTCATTGATTATGCCCACTAAAACCCAGGTGGGATCTAAAGAATAGAAACAAGTTAATATGAGTTTTCAGAAAGCAAAATACTATGCAGTAGGCCTAAGAAGAACTAGAGGAAGGTAGCTCATATATTGAAGAATGCGAAACTGTTTAATTTATTTAAGAGCTCAGTTAAGAGGAGGACACATGCAAAGAATTCATTACAAAACTGTAAGCTTATACAGGAGAAAAAAAAACACAACATGAAACTGACTCTTACTCTTTGTATTGGAAATATTAGAGATGGTGTATAAGCTGGAAAAGTCTGTCACAGCGTTTACTATATGATAAGAAAGTAAAGAAAGAAAAGTAGTGAATGTGGATCATAAGACTATTTGAGAAAGGCGATAAGCCAAATAATCCATGAACAATCTGATCTAGGGTTTGACTAGGCAGTACTACCTGCTAGATGACAATATTACAGATTCCATTCATAGGTAATCATACACAGGGTGAAGTGGGTATTCAGATTTTTTAGTATTCTAGAAGTTGGAGAGTTTTCCTTTTAAAGAATTAAGCCCAGTCATTATGGAGTAGAGTCAAGAAATCCAAGTAGGTTTCTTTCTATAGGAATTAGATACTAATTTCTGTAAAGAAGCTATAATTTTAAAAGAAAGGGAAAGTACCAAAAAAAAGGGGGGGGGGAAGCAAAATATTCTTAAGGAGGTAGAGAATAATCAACTTGGTTACAAGTCTGGTGATTGTTCTAGCAAATATTTTTACCAGTCTATATGCTAACTTTTAAAGATCTGTTCCATAGGAAAGTCGGCAAGCAAATCAGGAAACCACAAACGAGTTATATAAGCTCACTGTGCGTTTGCAGATTAGCTGATTCAGAAACGATAAAAACAAAAGGACAAAGCTTATATAACCACAATGCTTGATTTTCTGTGTGTGTCTGCGGCAGTCTTGGAGAGAATCCAATTGTAAGGCAGAGAGGTATAGAGAAATATCCTTACCTCCTCCTTTGGTTTTCTGAAAACGCCCAAAGCCAACTCCTTGATGTGATGAGTAATCTAATTATTTTATACTCTACATTGCCTACCAGGAGATCAGATCTATAGGGAGGAGGTGAAACCCTATGGTTTATTTGGGGTAATCAATTTTTTATGAATGTTATCCTTATCTTTAGTTAACCAGATCTAAGTTTTTATTGGCGGTTCCTTTTGCCATCTTAAAGTTCAGTACTGCAAATGAAGATGGGATCAAAAACATTCCTTTAATGATGCAGAAATTTGTGAAATTTTTTTAGTGATTTCAGAAATTTCTGAAAAACTGGGGTCACGGTAAGAAGTCTGTTCTTTTAAGGAGGCAATAGTATTCCAATAAAGGAAAAGCACTGGAGAGCAAAAGCAGAATAAACCTCATTAGGTTGACTTAGAGAATGATGCCCCAGGTTGAAAGCTAGGTGATAATTCTGTGCTATACTCTTAAATAGAAACTGTAGGAAAAAATATTCCATAACTTCCCTTAGTAAATTCTTATGTTTCCAATCCTTAGTATTGAGAATCCCTGTAATATACAATTTGGACCTCTCCTCCTGAAATCTTAATCTGTTTCCTCTAGTTGTACCCACCAAAGAAATGAGGAACTGTGGTTCAGTAAGGATAGAATGGGAAATCTAATAACTCATATTTTAAAAAAAAAGAACTTGGACTTGAAATGGTCATCTACATTTTTCTCTGTGTCAAACTCCACAAAAAAAACAGAAAGCAAGGTGACATATGAATGAGCAAATTAAACATAGGTTAACAGGCCTGGTAGGTAACTTTCTCTAGCCAGATCATATTTCCACAGAATCCAGTGTGTACTCTATTACACAGAAGCTCCATGACACAGTGCCTCAGCTTACCTAGGATATTAAATTTTGAAAAAAATGAAGGAGATTTGAAATTGAGCAGTGGCAGGAGGAGCCCTATGAGGTAAAAGGGCACTGTCTTGGACTTATTCCACCACTTATCAAACTGCTGGAGTCCTGTGTCATTGGCATAGAAAATCATAGAGCCATTGTCAGGATGGTCACCACTCCCAGGACTTGGACAAATCACTGCAACAGAAAGCATCAGATTAGAGAAGACCACGAAGAATACAAAATGACTACCCCAGAGACTGACACTTGCTCTACCAAACTCAACTTGTATCATGAATAAGTTTTTGCTTTCTGAAATAGAGGGTTATATTTAAACACATTAGGAAACTTTTACTTACAAATCATTAAAGGTGGAAGAATCTTAGAAAATTCTGAGGTATATCCTTAATTTCTATGGGAAGCTATAAAATTATCCTACCAACTATCTTTTGGTTCCATTGCCAGAGAGAAAATTTTGGACTAAATGGTATTTGATCTTATTTATACAATAATGTAAGAAATACTCAGGGTGATTGTTACCTTTGTGCTAATAACCCACACGAAGGCCAAACAACAGGTTTGTTTGTTTTTCTTTTTAGAAAGTGAGAGGGGCAAAAGGAGAGGGAGAGAGATAATCTCAAGCAGGCTCCACACCCAGTGCAGAGTCCAATGTGGGGCTCAATCTCACAATCCTGAGATCGTGAACTGAGTCAAAGTCAAGAGTCGGATGCCCAACTGACTGAGCCACCCAGCCGCCTCAGAACAGATTTCTTTTAACAATAAACAAAATCTATGGGTTTGGAATAAAAAGTGGACAGCATTGAAACAGATGACATGGTATTGCCAAAACCTAACTACTGCTTATAGCTTATGAATCTTGAATTTCAGCAATCTGGAATAATTCTCGTGGAAGTTTATCACATATTATAGCAGCCTAACAGCCTAGATTATATCCAGAGAACTGGGAACTGAGTAAAACATATTTTTCCTAACACTGATCTTCAAGTGGCAATTTCTGCTGTTAGGAGAGAGGATACAAATCATTCTGTGTTTCTAATTTCATAATAGTACTTTTCCTAATAATCAGCCCTTTAAAAAGAACTCTTAATGCTGGTGAAAAATACTCCTAATAAGTAACAATCATTCTCATCACTAGTCAAAGAGAAAATGATATATTCATTTTAAGTTCTGTTTCTAATTTTATTCTCTATCCATTATATATTTGGCATGCCACAAAGCCAAACACTTAATTTTCTTGCTTAGTTAGCATTTTAACATATACTTTTGTCTTCTATGTCTGGACAGAAGTAAATTAACTTGAATTTTTCTTGTGCTAATAATTACAGTGGTAAAGAGCACAGGCTGTGGAAGTAAACTGACTAAATAATGAATCTTGACTGTCACTTAGTAGTTATGTAACCTTGGGCAAGTCATTAACTTCGCTGTGTTTTGGTTTTTCTATCTAAGAAGTGAAGTTGACATTATCTACCTTACAGAAGTGCTGTAAAATATTTAGAATAATGCCTGCACACAGTAAGTATCCAATAAAGGTCAGCTGTAATTTTACATTAACTGAGATGGACTGTTTCATAGTATTTAACACATCATTCAAAGAGAAGAATGCAAAGTAAACTGCCTTTGCTGATGGTACTCTCCAAATCATCAGTGTAATCATGAAACTTATGAATATGTTTTAAAATTATACCAAAATACGTTAATATAATTATTCAAAGGTGCGTGTGTGTGTCTGTGTGTCCACAGAAAAGCTGGTACTGCACTCACTCATTTGCTAGTGTTAACAAAACACAGGTTAACGAGTTTAATTAAGGAACAAAGTAAGACACTGAATAGTAAACATTGAAAGGTTTGCTTTAAGAGAGGAGACACTTTTGTCTGTTCATTATATCCCCAGAGCCTAGAATAGTTCCTGACATATAAGAGGCTTAATAAATATATGTTGAGGGGCATTTGGGTGGTGCAGTTGGTTGAGCGGTAACTCTTGATTTTGGAACAGGTTGTGATATCAGGGTGGTGGGATGGAGCCCCTCGTCGGGCTTGAGCTCAGCACAGAGTCTGCTTAAGACTCTCTGCCCCTCCCCCTGGCAGTGTGCTTTCTCTCTCTTAAATAAATAAATAAATCTTAAAAAAAAAAAAATATATATATAGAATGAATTTTCTTCTCATTGATCAATGTGTTCATCAAAAGGATATCAATTTAGTATCTCTGAAATCTAGACACATAAATCTAAATACATAATGTAAAGATACATTAGTATTTCTGAAATCTAATACTCTAAAATCTAAATCATTAATACATAAAGCTTTAGGTGATGTTAAAGGTTAACAGTGTAACTGTTAAGAAGGTTACATTAGCTTTTACTTTTTTTTTAAAAGATTTTATCTATTTATTTGAGAGAAAGAGAGAACAAGTGAGGGGGAGGGGCAGAGGGAGAAGCAGACGCCCTGCTGAGCAGGGAGCCTCACTTGGGGCTCTATCACAGGACCCTGAGATCACGACCCAAGCTGAAGGCAGACGCTTAACCTACTGAGCCACCCAGGCGCCCCTACATTAGCTTTTACATTCATTTCCTCATGACTGCCATAGTGGATAAAACCACAAGCCACAAAGATTCATTTTTAACAAAATAATTAAAGGAAACTTTTCTAAGAAATTAAGATTTTCTTTTTTTGCCAGGCCTTCCAATTTATTTTTCTGCATTTAGTAACCTTTGTTCATTATTAGGAAATTATTTTACAGGATACAGATTTGTATATCTTAAATATTAGTAAATAATACAGTAAATTGTCTAAAAAAGTTAACAACCTGAGAACTATGCTTCTAGACTTCCAAAACAATTAGCAAAGACACAAACTCTTAAAAATATGTATTGACTATTCATAGGCAAACATGGATTCTATAGATGGAGCTACAATTGTGAATTGTATAATATGAACTCGATCTTGTTTAGCTCACATTAATACAACCTTTTATGGAGTTCGTTTTTTTTTTTTTAAAGATTTTATTTATTTATTTGACAGAGAGAGACACAGCGAGAGAGGGAACACAAGCAGGGGGAGTGGGAGAAGGAGAAGCAGGCTCCCCGCAGAGCAGGGAGCCCGATGCGGGACTCAATCCCAGGACCCCGGGATCATGACCTGAGCTGAAGGCAGACGCTTAACCAACTGAGCCACCCAGGCGCCCTGGAGTTCGTTTTTTTTTGAAACACATTGGTTGTCATCAATTTCACAGTGGCTCAGTTAACATAATGGTAATGATGTTGCACTAATTAATTTACCTAAAATAAAGCAATATGTTCTACCTTAAATTCCTTTTGAAGCCAAGTGGAAAATAAAAAAACAAGCTAAACTTTAAATTTCAAACTACTCACCAGGGTTGCTATCATTGGTACTCAGTACAGCATCCGTGTCATTAATGTGATGAATAAAATCTAAAAATTAAAAGAAAAAATACAGTTTAATACCAAAATAAAGATGCTTATTCATAATCACCCCCTAAAATCTTTGATCTATAAAATCTTTTAAGATCTACTGTGTGGTAATACTACCTAGTACACTGAACCAAGGCTGCTTCATTGTTAACAGAGCTTCACCATTTTCAGCGTCCTCTACTTACAGGAATGATGTCATTGGCTTCACTGTTCCCACTATGGAAAATTTTTACATGATTGAAGATTTAAAGAAAAAAAAAATCTACCCACACGGCAGAATTTAGTTAAACCCTGGAATCAAGATAAAGTGTACAATTTTTTTCTTCTATTCACACTAATTGATATAAGTATAGTTACTTCTTATATAAAGTTCTAAAGCCTGCAGAGGGGAAAACCAACACTTATAACAGCAACACTTAGCTGGAGAATCACTTAAAGCTTTTACAAAGTATTATATATGCTTTTATAGACTGAAGATTATGTAGTAATTATTGCTCACATGTGCCACTAAGTTACACTAAAGGAAGTAGCAAAGTAAAAAAGCACATGCAGAACGGGAGAAGATATGTGCAAGTGACATATCTGGTAACAGGTTAGTATCCAAAACCCATCAAACTCAATACCTAAAAAACAAATAATCCAGTCAAGAAATGGGCAGAAGACATGAACAGACATTTTTCCAAAGAAGACATCCAAATGGCCAACAGACACATGGAAAGATGCTCCACATCACTCATCATCAGGGACATACAAATCAAAACCACAATGGGATACCACCTCACACCGGTCAGAATGGCTAAAATTAACAACACAGGAAACAACAGAGGTTGGCCAGGATGTGGAGAAAGGCGAAGCCTCTTACACTGTTGGTGGAAATGCAAACTGGTGCAGCCACTCTGGAAAACAGTATGGAGGTTCCTCAAAAAGCTAAAAATAGAACTACCCTACAACCCAGCAATTGCACTACTAAGTATTTACCCAAAGGATACAAAAATACAGATTCTAAGGGGTACATGCACCCCAATATTTATAGCAGCATTATCAACAATAGCCAAACTATGGAAACAGCCTAAAGGTCCATTAACTGATGAGTGGAAAAAGAAGATGTGGTGTATACATACATACATACATATATGTATGTATACATATTACTGGAATATTAGCCATCAAAAAGAATGACAGCTTGCCATTTGCAATGATGTGGATGGAGCTAGAGTGTATTACACTAAGCAAATTAAGTTAGTCAGAGAAAGACAAATACCATATAATTTTACTTATATGTGGAATTTAAAAAACAAAACAGATGAACATGGGGAAGGAAAAAAAAAAGAGAGGATAGCAACCCATAAGAGACTCTTAACAATAGGGAACAAACTGAGGGTTGATGGAGGGAGGTGGGTGGGGAATGGGCTAAATGGGTGATGGGTATTAAGGAGGACACTTGTTATGATGATCACTGGATGTTATATGTAAGTGATGAATCACTAAATTCTACTCCTGAAACCAATATTATACTATATGCTAACTAGAATTTAAATAAAAATTTGAAAAAAAAAAAAGTATCTGACTGCTTGAAATTAAAAAAAAAAAAAAAACATGTGCAGATACCTGAGCATTCAAATCATTCTATAGTTAATGAGAGAATGGGTAAGAATGTGTTTCTTGTTAGACTGAAGTTATTCTGTTTGATGTTAATCTTTTATAACCTTGGTAACCCTTAAAAAAGGGTTTAATGTGAAAGTTAAATGAGTTGATAAAAAATGCTGGATTAGATTTTCAGGTCATAAAGTAAATTAAGTATGTGAATTATTCACCTCCACTGTATGCTTCTCAAGATAAAAGCAGTAGAGTAGTGCTCTAGGATTTTGTAGTATCTTCAAGGGTTATTAGTGATAAGATTGGAGGTGATCAATCTTTATTTCCTGATGCCAAAGACTCAAATAAGGCTAGTAAAACCTTGACACCAAGTATGGTAAGGTGAATATTCTCTCCCCAAATCCATGTCCACAGGAACCTTAGAATGTGACCTTATTTGGAAATAGGGTCTTTATGGAAATAATCAAATTAAGATGAGGTCATACAGGTTAGGGCAGGCCCTAAATTCAATGACTGATATCTTTAATAAGGAGAGAAAAATGTGCACTAAGACACACTGAGGGGAGATGGCCATGTGAAGACAGGCAGAAATTGGGTGATGCAGCTACAAGCCAAGGAATGAAAAGGATTGCCAACAATCAATCATCAGAAGCTAGGAGGAGGCAAGGAAGCAGTCTTCTTCCCTAGTGACACTTCAGTTTTGGACTTCTAGTCACCAGGACTGTGAGAGAATAAACTTCTCTTGCTTTAAGCCGAACAGTTTATGGTAATTTGTTACAGCAGCCTAATATACCAAGGCTCAACAAGGAGAGTATGAGAAAAACAAAACAAAACAAACAGGCTAGTATCTCTTTTGAAAAGACACAAAGGTTCTAAATAAAATAATAACCCCACTCCTCTCGAGAGTAAACTGAAATCCAGTAAGAAATTAAAAAACAGACATCATGACTGCTAAACTAAGTTTATCTCAGAATATAAGAATGATTTAAATAAAAATATATTCATATAATTTACCATATTAACAGTTTAAGGGAGAAAAGATTGGGTTGCCTGGGTGGCTCAGTCAGTCAAACATTTGACTCTTGGTTTCAGCTCAGGTCATGATCTCAGGGTCGTGAGATTGAGCCCCGTGTGGGGCTCTGTGCTGGGCATGGAGCCTGCTTAGCATTCTTTCTCTCCCTGTCCCTCTGCCTCACCCCACCCTGCTCACTCTCTCTTTCTAAAAAAAAAATAATAATAAAAAAAATAAAAGAGAAAAGATTTATGATCATCTCAAGGGATGTAGAGTATTAAGTGTCTGATAAAATACAGTACACATTAATAAAATTCTTCAGAAAATAATAGGCAGGAACATCTTTATTTTTATTTATTTATTTATTTATTTATTTTTAAGATTTTATTTATTTGCGAGAGAGACAGTGAGAGAGAGACAGAGAGCATGAGAGGGAGGAGGGTCAGAGGGAGAAGCAGACTCCCCACTGAGCGGGGAGCCCGATGCGGGACTTGATCCCGGGACTCCAGGATCATGACCTGAGCCGAAGACAGTCGCTTAACCAACTGAGCCACCCAAGCGCCCGGCAGGAACATCTTTAAATTGCTAAAGGGTATAACCAATATCCCACAACAAACTTAATATTTAATGGGGAAAGATTTCCACAGGAACAATATAAGGATGTCTACCAGCACTGCATCTACATAACTTTATACTTTAAAAAAGATAAACATGTCTACATATAAACATGTATAAATTGTGTTTGTATATATATATATATAAATATAAGGGTATCTGTATACAAATATAAATGTATGTATATATGTATGAATCACTTAAAGTAGTAACTGGACAGGAAGTTTTCATTACTCATGGAAATATAACTATCTAAACATAAAATCCAAAGGGAATCTACAAAATTAGAATCAATAAGAGTTCAACACATCTGCTAGATTCAAGACAAAGATTCCAAAATTTATTAGGTTATTTTATAATAGCAACAAATAATTTGAATTTTTATAATTAAAAAGTATATCACTACTTTCTAGGAAGATGGAATGGTTTCATGAAAGAGGTGTGGGTTACATGGATATATTCATCAAAATCGCATGGCTAAGATTTATGTGTTTCTATGAATGTATATTCTATCTAAAAAAGAGAACTGTGTATATAATAATAGTTAACTGAGGCGGGGAGTGGGTATAAGCATAGATCATGTTTTTTCAATGGATAGGATAATGACCCCAATGCGGGGGGGAAATCTGTGCCTAGGAGGAAAAACAAAAACAAAAACACCCCTTATTCTTTTTACATATAAAGCACAAATACACACAGAGTTCATAAATGGATAAAAGTATATCTATGATATTAAAACAAACTGAATCAACTATATTTTCTAGAATTACAAATGACTTTTTGCTTTATTTATCCCAAGTCCAGAATTTAAGGCTGAAACTAAAACACTGCAGTAGTTACTGTATCTAAAAGTAACTACTGTTAAAGCATATGATATGGATACTTACTAAAAATAAACCTTCCAGTATTAAAAAGAAAATTAGACATAAGCACCCAATAAACTATCATTGCTCCAGTGAGAGATACCAAGGAGAAAAGGAGACTCGACCACTGTCCAAAGGAGCCAAAATAGTATCTGCAGACATCTGGATATTCCCAGGTAGTGGTATCCACTGATGCTAGATAAAAATAAGAGAAAGAATAAAATTAGATGTTACTCATATATCCCATAATCATAATCTGTATTCCCCCAATTAACTCAAAATATTTAGCAAAATATTAAGAATATTCCACCACTAGATATTAGACCAGAGAATGACATAACAGAAATTAAAACATTATAAACACATAAAAAAAACTGTAGGTCAACAAAACAGTACAGATAATAAAAGAAACAGATTATAGTATTTTATAATTAGTAACAACAAACGATAAATCAAGGCTAAGCAAATCATGAGTAAGAGTCAGAAGATATTATCCAATAATCTTTGGCATACTTAAATAACATATGGAGGAAAGTTTTCCTGAGTCATACTTTATACCACATGCCAATTTCAGACAACTGAGCTAAGAATTCAAAAATTAAATAACAGAAAAGTTAGACGACAATATAAAAGTAGACCTTGAAGGGTTATTCCTTTCTATCAAATGAAGAAACAGAAATTACAGTGGAAAAGATAGGTAGATATAAACAAACTTATATAATACAAAAGCCATTCAAATGTTGAATGGAAAAGAAAATTGACAAGAAATAATGGATAAAGGGCTAATGCCTACATCATACAAAGAACTTAGCAGATCTATAAGAGCACCAAGGGACTTGAGGATAAATGGGAAGAGATAAGAATAAATAATACAATTAAGAGAAAACATACCATTGCTTAATAGAGACCAAAAAAATAAAATAAAATTGAAGACAAAGCCTGATCTCTTGATTCAAAATTGCTAAGATTCACTGAAATAATGTAGGTCTATTTAGGTCCTAAATTACTTTAAAAGAATCTAAAAAGGTATTTCCCTGATGTAGAATTTGTAGAGATGAGTAGAGGCAATGTATTATTAAGCTTTGTGAATTCACCGAAAAGGACACATCCATATTTTCATATTTTTCTGTTACATTTTACTTTTAGGAGATTCCAACATTTAGATCTCTTGGTAGAGGATAGATCAAAAGTCACCATTACCTGATAAGAATCATAGAATTTTCTTTTCTTTTCTTTTTTAAAGATTTATTCATTTGAGAGAGAGTGAGCGCAGGGGGAGGGGCACAGGGAGAGGGAGAGAGACAATCCTTCAGCTGACTCCCTGCTGAATGAGGAGCCTGATGTAGGGCTGGATCCCAGGACCCTGAGATCATGACCTGAGCCGAAATCAAGAGTCCGACATTTAACTGACCAACCCACCCAGGCACCCCAGAATCACAGAATTTTCAATTTAGTTCTGGAAAAGACTTTATTTTAAAAATATGACCTTAATACTTTTTCTTATAAGGAAATCAGCATCAAAGTAAATGCATTCTGCAAAGAACTATAAACCTCTCTGAATTTCAAAGGTAGTCACTAATTCATTGATATATCAGTTCAGCTGAATGCTATGAATTAGAGAAGTAAATCTTTAGGCACAAAATAGTTAACACACATGTGGAATGTACACATTAGTGATCTACTTCAATAGGATGTACTTATTAATACCCAAACTGTTACTCTGTTTTCACCATGGCAAACTCTTACATATCATAGCTCGTGATTTCACTACTCTGTAGCAGCAATAAAGTGTTAAAATGCCCATCAGCATGATGACACACATTCCAGTAGTAAAGCCAGCCTGTTTAAAAATACAAACATAAAACAACATATATCATCATGTTAGAATAATTCATATGCAACCATATTATGTTACCATACCCTAAACAATTATGATAAAAACCTGATGATATAAAATTGAATATAATTATCTATTTTCTTTAATAAATGTTGTATAGATTTATTAAAACCTCTATTGTAAAACTTACAAATAAAGAGAAAAAAATTCAGGCAAAAAGTGTGAAAAAGCTGAAAAATTATATTACCTGTTTTATGCCCCAAGGAATACTTAATATAGATGTTCCCATCATGGTATTCCAAATCATAAAACTGAAAACACAGAATAGTAGCAGTAAAAATATGGAATTTGACTCTTTAAACATTTTAATTAAGACAAAAATTAAAATAACCATGAATTTTCATTAACATATAGTTTAAGTTATGCTCCAAAAAGAAGTTTTACTCACATGGTTACTAAACTGGTGTTTTTGCCATATCCTTCAGTGTAACTTTGCAGTTTATAAGCAGAACCCAATGGACTATATACATAGCACTCTTCTGGAGCTGGAACTACATGATCTGGGGCAATCTAGTAAAAGAAGAAATGTTATAAGAGAAATGCTACAACCAGTAAATGTGTAAAGTAGGATATTTTCTAAATATCAGAGTACCTGACTCTAGACACAATTCTAAATATCATGAACAAACAAATAGCACGTATCCCTGATTAATGAATATAAAAAACCCTTTCCAAATGTAGTAAAAAATCTAAAGGACCAAGAGTTTATTTTTTTTTTAAAGATTTTATTTATTTATTTGACAGAGAGAGACAAAGCGAGAGAGGGAACACAAGCAGGGGGAGTGGGAGAGGGAGAAGCAGGCTTCCTGCCGAGCAGGGAGCCCGATGCAGGGCTCGATCCCAGGACCCTGGGATCATGACCCGAGCTGAAGGCAGACGTTTAACGACTGAGCCACCCAGGCACCCCAGAACCAAGAGTTTAAAGAATAAGAGCAATAAAATGTTCATGTGAAATAACAATGAATTCCTAAAATATGCAACTATCAAAATATTTTTCTCTTCATTTTCATGAGAAATAAAGAAGAGTCAGCAAAGAGTGAGATTAAAGAATTCTAAATGGAGGAAATCTGGGTCTTAAGTGAGGGGAATTTCAAGAATCAAGTGGCCACTGAACTCCTCTGTGAGGGTGATTTTAGCAAAGAGGTAGGGAACTCAAACTATAAAGAAATGACACATCAATACAAGGTAAAGAAAGGAGATATGTACTTAAAAGCATTTAAAAAGCAGAAGTAAAAAGTGAGCTAACATAGCCTAAGGAAAGGCAAAGCAAGGATATAAGGATGGAATATATAAACAAAAGGATAGGAACCAAGAGAGGCTGAAGACACACAAAATGACTGAATAGATACATTTTCTTATACACATAGCTCTCACCTTACCTCCCATACATATCTTCTGATTTCTACCTCCCTAGAGAGGGGGAAAAAATTAGTCTCCAGATAGAATTCTGCCCATCTCCCTGAGAACAGTCCTTTGGAATATGTAGTAGTCCCATATATAGTAGTATAGTAGTTAAAAACATAGTAGCTGACTGGTATAAATCAATGATCTTTTTTCTTTTTTAAAGATTTTCTTTCTTTTTCTTTTCTCTTCTCTCCTTTCTTCCTTCCTCCTTTCCTTTCCTTTCCTTTCTCCTTTCCTTTCCTTTCCTTTCTCCTTTCCTTTCCTTTCTCCTTTCCTTTCCTTTCCTTTCCTTTCCTTTCCTTTCCTTTCCTTTCCTTTCCTTTCCTTTCCTTTCCTTTCCTTTCTTTCTTTCTTTCTTTCACATGCAAGTGGGGGGGGAAGGCAGAGGAAGAAGGAGAAAATCTCGAGACTCCGCGCTGAGCACAGAGCCCCCCATGGGGCTCCATCTCACGACCCTGAGTTCATGACCTGAGCCAAAACCAAGAGTCGGACGTTTAACTGACTGAGCCACCCAGGCGACCCCTTTTTTTCTAAGTAGGCTCCACGCCCAGCATGCAGCCCAGTGCAGAGCTTGAATTCATGACCCTGAGATTAAGACTTGAGCTGAGACGAAAAGTTGGAGGCTTAACGGACTGAACCACACAGGCGTCCTTCAACTATCTTTTATATTTAGCACCTACTACGTAAATCTACAACTCGGTGCTAGGTTTAGTGTTCAAGAAAAAAAAATACAGTCCACAACTTTAAGAAGCTTAAATTCCATTTGGAAGACACATGAAGAAATTAGATAAGGCTAGAAGAGAGAAAAAAATTGTGAGATACTGTACTGCAGGAATGACAAAAAATTAACAGGGACTAGAATAGTTAGGGAAGATGTCAAGGAAGTGATGGAATACTGAACCTCAGTAGGTAGACAGGATATGGACTGGTACAAAAAGAAAAAGTTTTGAGTCCTTCTCTATGCATATAATTGGTGGTAGCTTGTGGGTAAAAAATGTCTTGAATGCTATGCCTTGTGTGGCTTTGGAAACAATTATTTCTGAGAGATAAAAAGGCATATATAGAAATGGGTCTGCTGCCTTCTCTTTTACCCTTAATCCTCCTGGGTCTGAGTTATATAATCTTCTTCAAGGGAGTAAAAAGAAAAAAGGGAAAGGACCATGTCTGCATCAGGCAGGAGATAAACCATGATGGCTAGCAAAGTTCAGAAAAAGTGAAAACTGAAAGTTACAGGAGGCAGGATTAGAAGCTAGAGGTTAAGAAGTTGCAAATTCTAGGGCGCCTGGGTGGCTCAGTTGGTTAAGCGACTGCCTTCGGCTCAGGTCATGATCCTGGAGTCCCGGGATCAAGTCCGCATCGGGCTCCCTGCTCAGCAGGGAGTCTGCTTCTCCCTCTGACCCTCACCCCTCTCATGCTCTCTCTCTCATTCTCTCTCTCAAATAAATAAATAAAATCTTTAAAAGAAAAAAAAGAAGTTGCAAATTCTAGAGAGTTACAGACAAAATGGAGAACTGGATTCCATACTTTGGCAGTAATGTTGGGCAGTGTTTTTCTTTCTTTCGTTCTTTCTTTTTTTTTTTTTTAAGATTTTATATATTTATTTGAAATAGAGAAACCAAGAGAGTGAGCAAGAATGGGGGGGGGAGGGGCTGCAGAGGGAGAGGGAGAAGCAGACTCCCTGCTAAGCAGAGAGCCTGATGAGCCACCCAGCACCCAGGCGTAGGGCAGTGCTTTTCAAACTTAAATTTTCCTGTGACTGACACAGGGATGTTGTTAAATACAAATTATGATTCAGTAGGTCTGGAGTAAGGACTGAGATTCTGCATTTTTAGTAAGTTCTCAGTGATGCCAATATTGCTGGCCTGTGCAGGCCACATTTTTATTAACAAGGATCTAGGAGATGTTGGCAGTCAAATAATTTTCTTCCCTTCCCCATTTTAGAATAAAAATATTAAGATAAATGAGGAAATTTTCAGAAATAAAAAGGCACAACTCCGTAAAATCCTGAGATGTGTGGTTTCACACTGTTCTTCCCTTAAACGCCTTTTAAGAAAAATAATTTTGTAATTCTCAGGAAATGAGCCTGGATATATACATACATTCACTAAAAATGGTCATGTCTTGGGGTGTCTGGGTGGCTCAGTTGGTTAAGCATCTGCCTTCGGCTCAGGTCATGATCTCAGGGTCCTGGGATCGAGCCCCACATTGGGCTCTCTGCTTGGCGGGGAGCCTGCTTGCCCCTCTCTCTCTGCCTGCCTCTCTGCCTACTTGTGATCTCTATCTCTCTGTCAAATAAAAAAAAAAATGGTCATGCCTTACTGTTAATTCTAGATCACTGTTTATATACTTTTACTAGAGTCATCTCACTGTCAGTTAACAAGAGGTATTCAACTTGGTGTACAATGTTGACTTAATTTCCAGGCAAACAATGTCCATTCAGGAATAGACTGGCCCAGCTGGTATCTCTGAAGTTTGCTTCCACAAGTAGAGCCTCTAGAAGGTCTGAATTAGACCCAGAGACATTGGATTACTTCTACTCCACAGAGGGCTTAGATAATTGTTATGGAACTAAGACTTTACTACAAGTACTGATATAAAGGCCTAGGGGAGGAAATAATGAAAAAATTGGGGGGAAAAAAATGACCAGAATATTTTGGAAGTCATTACTCTGGTTATACAAAAGGAGATCTTAATACTTCATAAGACTTTAAGTGAGATATCTATGTTCAAATGATATCCCAATCCTTGTCCCTCCCTCAGTAAACATCTAAAGAGTATTGGTTCCCTTCTCCTTTTTTTATTATTATCAATAAAAATATCATTTTTCCTCCCAGAATGTTTCCATTTTTCCTTAGGCTTTCAAGTTTCTGCATATCTCACATGTGATGATTCTTATAAAGCAACCAAATTACTTCCCATATTTTTGATCCTAAAATAATAATACAGATTTTAGAAGATCAAAAGTCAACAACCATGGCCCATGGTCAAATCTGGCCTTCAACCTATTATTTTACAGCCTCTTTGCTAAGAATGGTTTTTATGTTTGTAATGATCATAAAACAGTAGTAGGGGGGCCTGGGTGGCTCACTCAGTTAAGCATCTGCCTTCAGTTCAGGTCATGATCCCAGGGTCCTGGGATCCAGCCCCAAACTGGGCTCCTTGCTCGGCGGGGAGCCTGCTTCTCCCTCTCCCTCTGCCCCTCACTCGTGCTTGCTCTCTCTCTCTGGTGCTCTCTCTCTCTCTCAAATACATGAAATCTTAAAAAAAAACCACAACCAAAAGTGAAGAAGACTATGCAATAGTATATGGCCCACAAAGCCTAAAACGTTTAGAATCTGCAATTTGACCCTTGTTTTTGATCTACAAAAGGACATTACTAAATAGCAAAATATTATATATGTTTGTATTTCAGTTTCCCACTCCTATAGAAAACGTCTAAGAACTTTTTTCCCTTGTAGCTTCAAACTTAATAAATGAACAGACTAATCAGATCTGTTATTATTTATGTTATTTATCAATGACCTACTAAAGTACTTTAGTAGTTTATTCTCCTCAGAGCTCTTAGGATTGGGGACTAGCAGAATTCAATCCAACAAATCTCTTAGGCTACTGTCAACATAGAGAGATTGTTTCAAATCTCTATGTCATGCTAGATAAGACTGAGCTAGCCTGAGATGTAAGATGTGTACTAATTACTATCTTGATTTTCCATGATGGCATCCTTGGAATATGGCCAGCAAAAAGTTCAATCACTGGGAGTTTCCCTTGCTTATGCTGTTCACTGTTCATTTCAACTTAACCTTAGACAATTAGCAATGTTTGCCCCTTACCAGTGCCTTGTCTGCAGGAGCAGTGAGCCGGCTGTAGTAATGGATCCTCTTGTTCATGGCAGAGGCATGGTCGCTAACCCTCTGAATGACATCATTCACACTGACGATGTTTGTGGGCTCTATATAGAAAGGCCTAGAGAAGGGAATATATACTTGACAAAGAACATTCAGCCAGAAATTCTGGAAGTCAGCCATTGAAGAAAATAACTTCTTGTCCTCCATTAGAAATGGGATGTACCAAGGCAAGGCATTCAGTTCTCACTTTTGGTGGGAAAAGAAAATATCACAAAAGAAGTATTATCCAATCCAAAGATTAAAGCTTTTGTCTCATAATACTATTATAAATACACTTTTTTAATCTTTAGGAATTTAGCAATAGGAGATATAACAGAAAGAGTTTCAGTCAGTCATTAAAAAGAAGTATAGCAGCTATCAGTTTTCAACAATGAAATTTAGACCCACACAGCTTTGAATATCCTCTCAAAAAGCTTCTGGCACTAAATCAAAGAAATTATTGTCATAAATGTTTCTCTACTAAAGAGGAACTACTCTCTTCTACTAAAGAGTCTCTACTCCTTCTTTATGGGCCAAAATTACTTTCTATGACAAATAAAATATCTACTGCTTGGTTCATGTACTAAAGATTAGTAATCTCAACCACCTCCCTTGTGAAACTTGTCTGAAGTACTATCAAATGGAACATCAAGACACTAGAGATACTTTGCCTTATTCTACTTTATTTGGACTTCAGTAACAAATCCTATTATGCTATTATTTATATGTATGCTTCTTTCCCATAACTATGTCCCAATCAACTGCAGATCAGGTTTTCAATCATGATTTTCAGTCACTAACCCTGCCAGTTCATTACCAAAACTCCCTCCGTTTGCTTCTAAACTTCCAGTAATATAATCCCAAACAGAAAGACCATGAAAAGTACTGCCCTTCTCCACTGATTCTCAAATCTCTCAAAGTCACAAATGATATTGTGCCCCAAACTGCATATGCTATGACCCAAATTGCATATAATATGCTATTTTCAAATTACACACAGATCCAAATAATGAAGGAAAAAAACCCTTAGATTTCTCTGAGTTCCATATAACTCTTCTACACAATGGGGTGCCTGGGTGGCTCAGTTGTTAAGCGTCTGCCTTCAGCTCAGGTCATGATCCTGGGGTCTTGGGATCGAGCCCCGCATCAGGCTCCGTGCTCAGTGGGAAGCCTGCTTCTCCCTCTCCCACTCCCCCTGCTTGTGTTCCCTCTCTCACTGTGATTCTCTCTGTCAAATAAAAAATAAAAAACAAACAAAAAAACAAAACAAAGTCTTCTACACTTACAGTTCTGAAAGAAGCTTAAAATGTATGTTAGTCATAAGCTGTAATCATCAAGAGAGTATGGTACTGGCATAAAAACAGACACATAGATCAATGGAACAGAATAGAGAAGCCAGAAATGGACCCTCAATTCTATGGTCAACTAATTTTCGACAAAGCAGAGAAGAATATCCAATGGAAAACAGTCTCTTCAACAAATGGTGTGGGAAAAATTGAATAGTCACATGTAGAAAAATGAAACTGGACCACTTTCCTATACCATACACAGAGATAAACTCAAAATGGATGAAAGACCTAAATGTGAGAATGTGAGACAGGAATCCATCAAAATCCTAGAGAACACAGGCAGCAACCTCTTTGACCTCAGCCACAGCAACTTCTTGTTAGACATGTCTCCAAAGGCAAGGGAAACAAAGACAAAAATTAACTATTGGGACTTCATCAAGATAAAAAGCTTTTGCACAGCAAAGAAACAGTCAACAAAACTAGAGGGAACCTATGGAATGGGAGAAAATATCTGCAAACGTCTTACCAGATAAAGGGCTAGTATCCAAAATCTATAAAGAACTTATTAAACTTAACACCGGGAGCCAGGGTGCCTCAGGGCAGGAAAGGCTTCTGCCGCCCCCTGAGGACCCAGCGCCCCTCCAAGAGCCAGGGCTGCATTTCCAATAAGTTCTGCAGCCGCCCCGGGGAGAACCTGGGCCCTTTGCAGCAACTTGGTGCCTCCTGGGGAACGACAGAGAAGCTGCCTTGTTGGCTGAGTGCTGAGGAGGGGGCTCTGGGCGGCTTCCCAGGACATGTTGATGCAGGCTTGTTTCTGGGGAGAAATCCTGACCTAAATTCAGAGGAAGGGGAGCTGCATTCAGCTGGGACAGGAATACAGGCACTGCTGACTCTCAGGATCTTCTAGAAGGAGCAGCTGGGATCCCAATTTCCAGGTTCTGCTGGAATCAGAGCCCCAGAGGTCGGAAGAAGGAAAGATGGCGGAGGAGTAGGGGACCCTGTTTCAACTGGTCCCCGGAATTGAGCTGGATATCTAACAGACCACTCTGAGCACCCCCGAAACCAGCCCTAGATGTAAGAAGATCTGGATCTCTACAAACAGAATATTGCAGGCGGTTGGATTTTTTTTTTTTTTTTTTAAAGATTTTATTTATTTATTTGAGACAGAGAGAATGAGAGACAGAGAGCATGAGAGGGAGGAGGGTCAGAGGGAGAAGCAGCCTCCCCGCCGAGCAGGGAGCCCGATGCGGGACTCGATCCCAGGACTCCAGGATCATGACCTGAGCCGAAGGCAGTCGCTTAACCAACTGAGCCACTCAGGCGCCCGCAGGCGGTTGGTTTTGAGGTACGAAGCGGGGAGCCCTGATTCCATGGGCAGATATCGGAGGATAAACAGCAGTGGGAGGTAGCCTGTCCATGGGGATCCTACACTGCTGGTGAGCGACAGCCGGGCACAGACTTGCAGACCAGTAGCAGCGGGAAAGGACTTTAGGGCAGCCCCCAGGGCGGAAACCCGGAGCGGCGGCGTGGTGCGAGCGAACTGGGAGCAGCTGGCAGTTTTAGAAGCACAAAGGGCAGAGACCTGCTCTGACCTGGAGGCAGGACTGGGGGCGCTGCGGAGGGGCGCACACCCCAGGCTGCTGCAGTTTATAGCAGTACAGACAGAAACGGAGACGGTGTGGCCTGGAGAGCTCACGGAAGAACAGACTGTGATCTCTCTGCTCTGAGGCAGAGGGTTCTGCTCTGACTCGCGGAAGAGACCCAGAGGGCCGCCAGGGAAAGGCGCCAGAGAACAAAAGCCCCAAAGACTGATTCCCGCTGAGCCCATTCCCCGCCACAGGAGGGCAGGGTAACTCCGCCCCAACAGGGTTGCCTGAGTAACAGTGCGGCAGGCCCCACCCCCAGAAGACAGGCTGGGAAAACAAGAGGCCAGCAACCCTAAGGTTCTAAGAAAACAGGTGCATCTTGCTTGGGTTCTGGTCAATAATTTGGACTCTATACATTCCCTCAAACACTCATCAACAGAATGACTAGGAGGAGGAACCCCCAAAATAGAAAAGACTCAGAGATGATGACTTATGCTGCAGATTTACAAATGGATGCAGATATAACCAAGATGTCGGAGATGGAATGCAGGCTAGCAATTGTGAAGACAATGGCTAGAATGGAGAAATCAATTAATGGCAACATAGAGTCTCTAAGGGCAGAAATGAAAGCTGAATTGGCAGAACTTAAAAATGCTATCAATGAGATCCAATCCAATCTAGATAATCTAACAGCTAGGGTAACTGAGGCAGAAGAACGAATAAGCGACCTGGAAGAGAATATAATAGATAAAAAGGGAAAAGAGGAGGCCAGGGAAAAACAACTCAGAATCCACGAAAATAGAATCAGAGAAGTAAGTGACACCATGAAGCGTTCCAATGTCAGAATAATTGGAATCCCAGAGGGAGTGGAGAGAGAGAGGACTAGAAGATGGATTTGAGCAAATCGTAGCTGAGAATTTCCCTAATCTGGGGAATGAAACAAACACTCGTGTCCTAGAGGCAGAGAGGACCCCTCCCAAGATCAAGGAAAACAGGCCAACATCCCGGCATGTAATAGTAAAACTCGCAAATCTTAGAACCAAGGAAACCATCTTAAGGGCACTTAGGAGGAAGAGATTCCTTACGTACAGAGGGAGGAACATCAGAATAACGTCAGACCTATCCACAGAGACCTGGCAAGCCAGAAAGGCCTGGCAAGACATATTCAGGGTACTAAATGAGAAGAACATGCAGCCAAGAATACTTTATCCGGCAAGGCTGTCATTTAGAATGGATGGAGAGATGCAGAGCTTCCAAGACCGGCAGAAACTGAAGGAATATGTGACCACTAAGCTGGCCCTGCAAGAAATATTAAGGGGGGTTCTATAAAAGGAGAAAGACCCCAAGAATGATACAGAACAGAAATTTACAGAGACAATCTATACAAATAAGGACTTCACAGGCAACATGATGACAATAAATTCATATCTTTCAATAATCACTCTCAACGGCCTAAATGCTCCCATAAAATGGCACAGGGTTGAAGATGGGATAAAAAGACAGGACCCATCCATATGCTGTCTACAAGAGACTCACTTTGAACCTAAAGATACATCCAGACTCAAAGTGAAGGGATGGAGATCCATCTTCCATGCCAGCGGACCTCAAAAGAAAGCTGGGGTAGTAATTCTTATATCAGACAAATTAGATTTTAAACTAAAGTCTGTAATAAGAGACACAGAAGGACACTATATCATTCTTAAAGGGTCTATCCAACAAGAAGATCTAACAATTGTAAATATCTATGCCCCCAACATGGGAGCAGCCATCTACATAAGCCAACTGTTAACCAAAATAGAGAGTTGCATTGATAACAATACATTAATTGTAGGAGACCTCAACACTCCACTCTCAGCAATGGACAGATCATCTAAGCAGAAAATCAACAAGGAAACAAGAGCTTTGAATGATACATTGGACCAGATGGACCTCATAGATATTTACAGAACATTCCACCCTAAAACAACAGAATACTCATTCTTCTTGAGCGCACACAGAACTTTCTCCAGAATAGACCATATACTGGGTCACAAATCAGGTCTCAACGGACACCAAAAGATTGAGATTATTCCCTGCATATTCTCAGACCACAATGCTCTAAAACTGGAACTCAATCACAAGAAAAAATTTGGCAGAAATTCAAACACTTGGAAGCTAAAGACCACTCTGCTCAAGAATGTTTGGGTCAACCAAGAAATCAAAGA